AGAGGCTGGGTGCCTGGTCCCAGGCCGGCGAGGGGGCTGGGCGTGCTGTGTCGTCGGGGACGGCTTGTGGTCAGGCTGGGCTGAACCCGAGCTGCGGTCCACCCTGCAGCTTGTCAGTCCTGCTGTCAGTCACCACCCAGGACCCAGGCTTCCTCTCCTCCTCGCCTGCTGGGCCCTCACCCTGCAGACCCTCCTCAGGGCCCTCCCACTCTGGACTCACTCCCCGGCTCTGCTCCCGGCTGTCTGAATGCACCCCTGACACCGTGTCCGTGGGGAGCGTGTCTTCTCCGGAGGTGGAGTTCTCACGGCAGGAACCATGCTGCACACGGGGGACGCCCTGTCAGTGGCGTACAGGCCAGGGGGGTGCATGGGATCCAGGGAGCAAGGCTGGCCCCTGTGAGGGGCTTGGGCTGGATGCTGGGCAGGGGCTGCGTGTGCAGAGCAGGCTTGGAGGCTAATGGTGCTGAAGGTGGGGGGGTTCAGGCCCGAGGAGGCAGAGACCGTGCTGACGGTGTGACAGCAGACGTGGGGCGTGGAGGGCGAATATGAGGGAGGCAAGAGGAGGCATGGGTGGGCTCCGTGACCAGCTGGCTATGATGTGTGTGCTCATGGGTATGCACCCCACAAGTATGTGCCCTTTGACCAGGACGGGGAAGGCGGGAGCCCACAGTGCCCACTTACCATGAGTGGCAGGAAGGAGTGATTCCCAGGCTGTCCACTGCCTTGGGGGTGGGGCTCTGGAGCCCCAGGACCACTGCTCCAGACTCCTGGCCAGCCACCAGCCTCAGGGCTTCCCTTGGCAGGACTCGTCCGTCCCTGTGAGGAACAAGCCCACAAGCCGGGTGCGTGCTGTGGGGCCAAGGGCAGAGGAGCACTGTGTGGGGGTCAGCAGGCCCCGCTTCGCCACCTGCTAGCTCTGTGACCTTGGGCCGGTCTTTAGGCCTCTGCACCCCAGCTTCCTCATCTGCAGATGGGATGAGTCCCGCAGACCTGCCAGGCTGCCATGAGCATGAGATGGACACACACACGAAGCTGTTCACAGGGCGGCCCCAGGAAGTGGTGGGTGTCTTGTTAGTGGCGAGCGGCAGGTGTGTGGACACCCCTGGGCACAGGTGGAATGGACCCCTCTGTCGGAGGAGGAGGGGCCTTGCGTGCTGGAGGCCTAGGACATTAGGGCAGGGATGCGGGGTCCTTGGGTTCGGTGGAGAGGTGGGGGAGAGGTGGATGTCTTGGCCTGGACCTGGACATCCTGTCCAGAGCTGCTGGATGCAGGGCCTGGGTGCTGAGTCCCAGAGTCTTGCCAGAGGGAGAGCATCCTGGTTTCATGGTCACGACCTGGCGGACCTCCCCAGCGGGGAGGAGGGAAGGAGGGACCCCTTCTTTCATCGAAGACGGTGCATGCCCCTCCCCTGGTGAGTGGGAGCACCTCCACACCAATACAGGCACCCTGTGCTGACCTGGGAACATCTCAGGTGCCAGACAGATCACCTCTGTCCACTCCCGGCCTGGCGGGGCCCTGGCAGTGTCTGCTGACTTCACGCTGCGTGGCCAATGCTGGGTGTGCCTTTGGGAGCCAGAGGTGCACTTGACCTGACCAAGTGGCCGAGGGACTAGGGGCTGGACCCTCCTGGTCCCCCCTTGCCCCAGCATCTGAGAAGACCCCCCTCCATCCCATGGCCTGGCCTCTCTCGGTCCTGACGGAGCTGAGCTGCCACATTCCTGTGCCCCATCGCTCTCCCCACCCATGTCCTGCCCTCCCTCTGGAGCAGGTTGGGGCTGTTTGGGTGGCCTTGGTTGGCTCCCAGCCCCCACCTGGGAGTCGAAGGGTCCTAGCCGGTCTGGCCTGACTGAGGAGGCTGCGAGCAGTGGTTATGGGGCTCCAGAGCGCCCAGCCCCTGTGAGGCCGCAGCCCCTCTGC